CCCCCCCCCGCCATCGACCTTGCAGGCAGGTGGCTTTGCAGGGCAGGGCCGCAGGCAGCCGCAGCCCCTTCGCTTATTTCTCACGCACCTCTGCAAGCGCCAGACGCAACGGGCGCCCTGACCCGCGACTCGCCGCGTCTGCCCGGCGCCGTGGGGCGGGACGTTCGTCCGTCTGTCGCAGGAGGGGACGCTAAGGCGACTCGGGTGACCCCCGGCGAGGTCGGCGCGGTTTGGTCGTTCACACCGCGGGCGGCCCGAGGCGCACCGGGGGGGACCCGCATGTCTACACCCCGGCGGGGGCCCGGCCGGGAGACCGCGCTGCGGGGAGGCGGCCTCTCGGGGACGTTCGGGCTTTTCCGGGTGGTTGCGGGTTAACCCTTTCCCGCCCGGCCCCGCGCGCCGGGACGCAGGTCGTCGGCGCCGGTTTGCCTGCGCAGGCGTCACGAGGACTGTTTCCGCGCTCGCAGTGTTCGAGAACTTTCGAGCTGGGAGCGGGGCCGGCGAGCAGCCGCCCCGGGCCCCGGGTCCCCCGCGCTTGCCGCCCGGCCCGGCCTTACCCGATGTGCCGCCCGCGGAGCGCCAGCGTGTCGCGCTTGCTGTGCAGCTCGCACATGCCGCGGGCGGGGTCCCTCCTGGGGTCCCCTCGCCCTGGGCGTCCGAGGTCACCGCCGGCACCCGCCCGCCGGCGCCGCCGCCCTTTTAAGTCCCCCCCTGCGTCCGCGCTCGGCCAAGCCCCTCCCCTCCCGCGCCTGGCCCCGGAGTCCCTACCCCGGCCGCGTGTTTCCCGGCTGCGCCCTGCCCTCGCCGTCCTCCCCTGCTGCCCGCGAATTTTCTCCTTCCCACGCTCGTTCTGGTTTCTTTGCGGTAGGCTCCTCTCCTTTCTTGTGGGAATTCAGAGCGAGGCGCTCCCCGGAGATGCCAGGACCACGGTTCTCTGCGCGGTCGCCCGGCGCGTGGTCCGTCCCCAGCTGCCCTTCACCCCGCACGAGCGCGTGCCCCAAGGACGCGTGAGCGTGTCGTCTCGCAGGCAGGTGTCTACGCAGGGTTTCGAACACCTGCTATAACGGGGATCCATTGCTAACGTCTCCAGCCATGCCGATGACAAAACCCATCGACACGGGTCACCTCGTTCGGTCTTCACCGTTCAATGAATGGGGAAAGCGAGGCTGTCCCTGGTGCATCACTACGCGCCTGCCTGGTGGTGGGCGCGGGGCTCATCTCTGCGGGTTCCTTGACTTCCTTTGAGACGCTCTCACACGGATCGGGTCTGAGGTTGCATATGCGGACGGCTAGGATGCTAGTGAGCTATACCATCAAATCATAAATTATTTGAACAGCTAGCGGTCGCCTGGTTGGACGCCCTGTCCTCTTGGCAGCAAGGTGAAGGCTTGCTCGGGGTCACGCAGCTGCTTAGCATCGAGTTAAGACCCGATCATTTCGTGGTGTTTGCTCTGTGCTTTGAAAGGGCAGCAGGGAAAGCCCAATCGTTGTATCAACACATTCGATAAATATTTGCAACTGAACCTTCTCCTGAACGACGTTTGTGTTAATTTGCACCTGCCTACTGCAGGAGGAGTAGCATTGCGTTGCCTAAGGCAGCAGGAGAAATGGGTTCTAAGAGGAGCAGAGGACTCAAAATTCTAGGTTTGATAAATGAAGGGCAGAAGGCACTCGGGAGAACTGCAAGAGCTCCCGGTCGTGTCGTCTGGGTCTGGTTCTGTGTTGGAACGATGCTGCCAGCTGGACACCTACCTGCCAACTACCCGGACCTGGTGGAGTCCCAGGTGGTCACCCTCCCTCCACAAAACTCCACAGTCCTGGCGATTTCTAAGTGCCTTAATGTTCTTTACATGGCCCTGGGCTGAGTCTTGGGTTCTAGATCTGGCTCTTCCCTCAACAGGCTGGGCTTCTTGACCTTGCCGAGGTCAGATTTCTTTGTGTTGAAAAACAGTCTCTCTCTGGCTCAAAGCATCACAACAGAGCTTAAACGAGATCGAGGTTTGGCGTCTTTGAGGGTTGGGTCCTTCGCCCTTTCTTTGTCCCAGGGTGATCCAATGGCTCCCTCGGATTTAAAACCCATCCATGTGCCACGTTTACGTTCCACTAAGACCTTTCTTCTCAGTCCGCACCTCTCCTATTTACGTTCTTTGTTCACATCTCCGCTTAAATGTCTCCTTGGACATCTCAGACTTAGACGTGCGGGACGCAGGTGCAGGCGGTGCTGCGCGCGGCGCTGACGGCCAGGGTGGCCCGGGGTGGTCCCGGTGGCCGGGGTGGCGGGGGTGGCGGGGGTGGCCGGGGTGGCAGCTGTGGTCGGTGGGGCTCCCCTCGTCTCCCCAGGTCGGGGCGGAGCCGCAGCGCCCGCGGCGCAGG